AAAACAGCTAATAGCTGTGAGCTGAAAGAAAGAGAGGCTAATGCTCTGCCATACAGGTAGAGCGAGCCGAAGGCTGACCCTCCGCAGGATTAGCAGGCTGTGGGATACAGTCTCTGGACAAATTCAATGGGAAATGGCAGTGTGCAAGTGAATGCATCAAAAACAATTTAGCTGCAAGCCCAAGTTGTGTTCACCACAGGAGGAGACAGCTTCTCTTTCCCCCCTGTTTTGTTCTGCCCAGATGAAATGGCTTTTTGGACTGTCCTAGCTTCCCCCCCACAGGCACCAGGACTCTCAGTGAAGATCTGGGGTATCACACCATCCCAGACTCCATTTTTATATATGCACTCGGTATATGCTTTGGTCTACACATGCCTTGCCCCTGGGCAAGGCAAATGGGCAGCGCTGGCAAAAAGGGCCTGCAGACAAGGCACAGCTCCAGGGGCAAGGCCAGGGCCACTGTGGACCACAAGCAGTCATTACTGCAGCCTGGTTTGTTTTGTCTCTGCAGCAGAGAAGAAATGAGAGAAAAATCAGGACCAAGTGTGTAAGTGTAAATGGGAGCTGGAACGCTGTTCCGTGTGCTCAGAAACCCTTTCAGTAACCCACTCACTAAACTTTTCTCCCTTCAGTCAAATTAAGTGCTTTGATCCAGGCCATCCCAGCCAGCAATTCATCCCAGAAGAAAATCTGTGTTGTACGAGTCACTATACAGTGATCCCCAGACTTTAAACTACTCTAAAATATTTATAAGGCGAGATGGTTGTATTTTTGAAGAAAATCTAGCACTTAAAGAAAGGCAGACCTATATCTTTCTTTTGCTCAGTACCTCTCAAAATTTTAAGGAATACTACAGAGCACGATAACGTTTCGATTACGTTACTGTGCGATCGACAGCTCCTCAACCTGTCTACTTCCTATCAGTAGCCTTTAGCTAAAGAGTAACCGTTTCCCTAAAACAAGCTATTGTTCCCTAGGTGAGACCGCTGCTTAAAATGCTGCCCGTTTCTGTTTACCCTGTGCCAAGTCCCCTCTACTTCTGCTAATCCTGGGAGACATCAACTCTGTAAACAGTTTAACCGCTTCTCGAGTCAATTAACCATGAATGAAAGGGAAAAGGAAAAAAAAAGTTCACAGTCTTACAGAAAAACCTTAAAGCCTTAAAAATCATCCACTGGAAAGGTGCGTACTACAGCTTTATGGTAAGACACTGAAAATATCCAGGGAAGCTCTGCTGCAAATCCTGTTGAATGCTTTGAAAATTCCTGCATGTATCAGCTGCCCAGCCTTGTGCTGGAACTACATACTTTTTAGTCCTTCATGAAACTGCTGTGATGAAATGCAATGAGATACACCCAAATCTCACAGAAGAAACTGTAGATACGTTAAATCTTATGGCTCATCTTTATGACTTAGGCTTATTTCGGTATCTTTTCACCGAAATGAGCAACGGTTAATCTTAAACTTCACCTCTAAATCAAAGCACTGGATATGACCCACAAATTGCACAGCTATTAGAAAATATCAAGTGAACTTCAGCACACATGTGCAATAGTTTACTAAATACCTGATAACAAAGAGGTAGAATTGGGAGGGGCCTCTGCAGAAATTGCACTTGCTTTGCCTCCTTCACAGCCCCCCACCGCCTCAGGGATAAAGATTATGGTTTCGAGGGTTCCTGGACACATACAAACACAAAAGGACACGCTGGCTAATTCGCTTTCCTGAGACTGTCAGAGTAATGTCAAGCCCAGAGTACAAACACGATTATGAAAAAGCTTTGTAGTTTATTTGACCGCTCATTTTAATTCACGCTCATGTTTTATGTATATTTTTACTCTTAAGGCTAACTCTCCTATTTAAACACAGTTTAAATACTGATACTTTAAAATTCACAGACCATTATTAAAGGCACATAGAGAACAGATGGCCCTGGTGTGCACGTGCATGTATTAACCATTGAGGGAATTTTGTTTTAATCCACGCCACACCCACACCTAAAGGTCTGAACACACTGCACACTGTTTCTGTATGTTTCACATGCACACACATAAATATGACAGACCAGATCATCATTCTGTCTAGATCTCAGCCTTACTTACAGGGGAGCAAATTTTACATGTTTTAGAAGCATAAGTGCTTAAAGGAATGATACACCAGCTAAGCTGGAGACTAGTGATCCTTCAAGATCAAAGAGCCTTTGTTCATCTCTTTCTGCTGCCCAGTATTTGCCGGTCAAATATACAAGCACACACAATGGATATTAGTGGATACTACTTAAGCTATCTCTTCGTTACAAACTTTTACTGCATTTTGCTTTTATTTTGAACCAGAACATGAAAACAGTGCATCTGCTGCTGCAAAGCCCCAAGGATCCTCCCATCTCTTACCTTCAGGTGCACAAGCTTCTCTTCACATACACGAGTATTTCTCTTCACTGAGTGCTTCTAAAGGTTCACATCACAGCTCTAGAAGATGCAGTGTGTCTCTATCCCTTCACAATGGAGATAAATGGAGCCCTTATCCAGGTCCTGGTGACTCCAAGACAGCATTCTGTCCTCCACCTTCAGCAGCACCATTAGACACTAACACTACAGCCCACAACCTCTGCCCAGTTACCTGGGCTTTAAACACGATGCTACTCAGACATCCTGGCTGCAACTACAGCAAGAAATTAAACCATACTCAGGCACATTCCCAGGCCAGAGAATGTGGTTGCCCCCTCTTCTAAATGGTTTAAATAGTCCCCAGCATGTTTTTTGGCGTGTGCAAACCTGCATTCCTGCAAACTGCTCCTGACTCGGACTCAGGAGCCCCCTAAACAACCCACCTGCAGCCACTCTGGCTCCCCCAGAAGAGAGGCTACCTGCTTCACACCAGCTGGCCCTAATACCAGAAGTTGTCCCCAGGTGAGGCCAATTTACTAGTTTAGACAAAACCTTTAAGAGGTTCTCAGATCACAGCTGATACCTTGGTATGCTGGATGGAGTCTTAATCAGTGCTAATGAACTCATTCCCCCAAATGCATTTGAAGCATTTAGTATTCATACTTACCATTAACAGTACCTCAGAGGTATCTATTTTACAGGTTATCTATTTTAAATTTAAATGCAAGTTATTTAAATTCTCACTATGCATATCAGACCTCCAGTACGAGAAGACTTAGGCATTGAAGGCCAAAAAGGGTCGCTCTTTTGGAGAAGGTCACTCCTCCAGTAAGCAGCCCGGCACCCTAAAATGACACCAGTGAGTCAGGCTACAGCAGGCTCGTCACACTCAGCGCTGCTATAAGCATCCCAGGCCCTGGTAAAATGCAAATCCAGGAACGTTCACGTTATTGTTAAGCCAAGAATTTGCACTTCAACTGCTACAATCATTCCCTACTCTTAGAAAACTGTTTTCTACTAGTATCTTTCATATTTTAAAAGTTTGCAAAATAAGCATTCTGGTTCTGTTTGAGGCTCATTGCAAATATCACAAACACCCAGTACCTGAACAGGAGTCAGGCAGTTAAATCACTTAATGTGGTGACTCTCACTCTTTCGGGCAGATAATTATCGTGAAGAAACCTTTAACTTTTAGGGGGCGGCTGCAGCAACTTTACAAACAAGTAGAAGGATGGGGAGATTTAGGAGAGTTTGTTCTTGCAGGAAGCAATACTCACTCCTGTTACGCTTTACGTTCCTCTTACCCCTGCTGAATAAGCACTAGTTTCATTTCCATGGCCAGGCTCAGAAGGCAGCACCCAGTGCCATCCTGTGCTCTACAGACTATCAGGATCCCCAGCGCTCGGTGAGCTCCAGACACCTCCTAAGACTTGTTGCATTTACTTCCCTCTGGAGAACTGCATAGGCAAAGGAAGGAGAGGGCAGGCAGGGAGAAGAGCCAAGCCAGGAGAAACGCTTTATTCCTTTGCTCCAAAGTGATGGGCTGACATGTGTGAAGCAGCCCTTCCAAGGCTGGCCAGCAGGCCAGCATTAATCAGACTCAGGCAACAGGACCACCAGGTTGTACCAGTGTTAACCGCTGCTGCTGCCTAACTTGATTTTAGCTCTGGATGGCAGCCAGGGACTCCTTAAGGCCAGAGAGGTCCTAAGCAACCCTCGCAAAAAGAAAGCACCCCTGCAGGTTTTTGAAAATAAAACAAAAATGTAAATGAGCTTAAAAGATCAAAGACAGTGGCTACATGTATGTATTATATAAAACAACTGGAATGTTTTCTACACAGCTGTTTTTCCTCCTTGAGAATAATCATAAAGGATTTGAGATGCCTACTTCTGCTTCCAAGCCCTATCAGACACTAAACTATACTGCAAGCACCACTGAACTTGCAGTTCCTGTTCTTAAATGTTTTGAGGCTCTCAGAATTTTAACTACTGAACTCTGAGATACAGATCATAGTAACAGCAGCAGAACAGAACAAAGGGAAGGGAATTGCAACTGAAGCAGAAGCTTAACCCAAAGCAGGGAACTGCATGCTGGTGGTGTCTTTTTATTAAAAGGAAAGGAAAAGCACATTATACAGGATTAAAAGTGTTTCTGCAGGGGGGAAGTGGAGGGGAGGAAGAGAGACAATCTTTAAAAGAAATGACCCAAAGAGAAAAATCTCTAATAATTTATTGACCTTCGGTTTCACATTGTGAAAAAAAAAAGTTTTACAAAACCTTAAGATGTAGTAGCAAACAAAAAAAACCACACAACACATTTTACTTCTTCACTTGTACAGTTTTCTTTTAGTACGTGAACCACATCTTCAATAGCCAGGAAAGGGAACATTATTCTGCTCTAATCACTCTTATTCAGACAGGTGTCAGACCTAGAGAAAAGGGGCTACACAATTATACCAGAAGAGGAAGGCTGTCCTTTGTTGTATGTTTCTACAGCAACCAGCCTGCAAAATAAGAGGAACCTTCTCGTCTCATGCCAAGGTTTTTGTGTGCGCTCCGCTGTGAATTGCTTTTGCTTCCAAGTGTGGCGTGTTTTGCCTGCCTGGAATGGACAAGCAGCTAGCCAGGGTTCCCCCATCAATTCAGAAAGCAGGAGCCCAGCATATTCCCTGCAGGGCCAGAGGCCCACCCTGCCTTCTGCTTCCCTCAGCCTACACACAGCAATTCATCGAGGGCTTGACAGCAGAGCACAGCTCTGGAAACAGCTGCTATGAATTCCCCTTCCTTTCGGAAGTTGGCTGGTGCTGGCAAACAGAACTGAGCTGCAAGCAGAACAGGCAGAGTGCAGCTTCCCCTCTGGGCTGCAAGCAGCTGGATGGAGAAACAGGTCTTGAAGCTACACACCCTCGCTGAGGCTCTCCAGGGACCTGGCTCTTCACTTCCTTGGGCCTCCTGCAGTGGCCAGTGCCTGGCGAGAGCACAGGCCAAGCACAGGAAGTCTGATTTTATGGCTCACTTCGCATCAGGGAGTGATCCGCAAGATGAAAGGCAGCAGCAATTCAATCCTGTTTAAACAGGACAATCTGTGCAAGGAAAGGGTTACAGTTAGGCTGTTTTCCCACTGCTTAAAAGCCGTGTAAGAGAAAAGAACCAATTCTGGGAAGGCTGTGAGTTTAAACACTTAAAAAAATATATTCTTTCAACAGATCAATTTAACCAGAGGAACTATAGCTGTAACTGTTCACATCTAGCTGGGCCTTACCTTGGGAAAAGAATAAAAAAAAAAAGCCATCTCCTTCAATAACTAAGGAGTGTTCTCCCAGCACAACTCCAAACATCCAGTTTCTGAAATGTAAAGGTCTATGTATTCCAAACAGCAGTCAAATGTAAGGCAGCATAGAGAAGTTTTCAGTGATCAGTGTTAATACTTCAGGTGATAAAGTTTTCACAAATACAGCTACACCACTGTCACACAAAGGCAGGCATCACCAATTTGACTATTTCTGTTTTGCATGCAGGCATGCAAACGTTTCACTTACACTGTGGCATACAACAACCACGGTACTGAATGTGCCAGTTCAATTGGGCTCTATAAACACTTAGGAAAAAACACAATACAATACATGCTTTTATAACAGAACCTGGCAAAGAAAGCATCTGTGAAACACAAGCTTCTGAAATCCAGGGGAGCAAGAGTAGCTTCGTATCTCTCTCAAAACAGGACCAACGAAGAAATTTATCTACAAAATTGAAGTTTGGCTTCTCAGGATTGTACCGGACACTTCTGAGCACCCAAATATTTAAAGACATACCTGGCTCTGGAAAAAGAGAGCAGAATTTGAGGACTATTTCTAAGATTAAGAGTTCTAAAATTCATTTTCTATCCTCATGCTGTAACGCTTGGGTCTTTGATACCCCACCACTCAGCTACCCCTCAGGAATCCAGAGGATTAAGACTACCCAGTCAGTGCAAAATTGCTGTTCTGCTTTTTCTCTTTCTTTAAAGACTTCATCACTAACCTATCTCAAGGGTTTTGTTCTCATTCTTGAATCAGCCATACTCTACTCATTCAGGTCAATGTGGCTATATAAGTATAGATAAGTACCCCACCCTTTAACCCAATAAATAAATAAATAACTTTGGACAATGACTTCATCTGGGCTTGGTATCCAGAAGCTATTCCACAGCATTTGCGTTGCAATCAGGAAGCTGCACAAAGAGAGAGCTGTAAGCGAGCTGGGCTGTTTCCAGACTAGACAGTCAAAGGCATGAGCAGCAAATGAAATGTAGCAGGGACACCATCTACAAGACACCCCATATGCAACCCGGGGAGCTGGTGGCCTGAGAATGCGACCTCCATGGCTTCTTCCTTTAGTTCGGGTGTAACTTAAGATCCTGCCTTGTAATCCTTCCATTTCCGACTGGGAAGCCCCCCTCCCACCTCCACCGTTACTCAGTTTTCTTTCTTTGTGCAGCAGAGCAAGTTAGAGATCACAAAATGTGCAAAACATACAACTCACGCAAGCCCTGACCACATGAAGACAACGGCAGGCATTGTTTCAGCATGCAAGCACGGAACAATAAATAACTGTATCTACAACAAGTAACATAACAGGAAGGGGCCAGTCCAAATTACTTATAAATACAGGGGCAAGGGAACAATCGGCATTTGGGGGGCATCAGTTTTGTTCTCCACCGCTGCAAGACACGTCAGACTGTGCAGCTCTGCAAGAAGCCAAGGGGGCATCACAAGGCGGCCCCGAGGGCTGCCACGGGCACTGCCCATGGCCACGCTCACCCCTGGGATGGGGGCTCTGCCCTGGGACGGGGGCTCTGCCCCGGGACCGTCACCTCCTCGTGCAGCGCCCCCCGGCCGGGGCTCCAGAGCTCCACGGAGAGAGGCGCCGACCACGGCCAGTCCCACGCGCCCACGGTGGAGTCCACGAAAACTGAGGGTTGTGCCACACAGCTCACAGAAGCTGAGCTTTTTTCTCCCTTGAAGGACTGATTCATACTGGCATGAATCCATGTTTATCAACACAAGGACCAGATCATAGGTTCGTTCATTCATATTTAAACCGTGTGCTGAAGCAGTGAAGACAGCGTTTTCCTCCCGTTCCTTCATGTAGAGATTAGATAATTTACAAGGTGCGGATGATTTTCTTCAAATGCAACAGACACCCAACGATTTTTCTTCATTAAAACCGTTTCTCCAGATTTGAGGTTCCAATTTTCTTCTCCAAATAATGGAGCAGAACTAAAAGCATGGTGGAGGGAGGGTAAGAAAAAGGAGAAAACAAAAAGAAGCTTTGCTGAGACAGAATTGCATAAGGTTTTTGTTAGATGTCAAAGAAAAGCTACAAATTAGGTTTTGGACACAATCCACTTCACAGGTTTCCCTCCCTTCCACCCACCCCCAGTTTAGTATTCCTGTTTAATAGCCAACTACTGATAAATAACCCAGCCAAGCACATAGTTACCTAGGCTCAGATTCTGCCTTTATTATTCAACTAGCCTTACCCTGCAAGCCATCAAACCAAACCCAGAAAGACTATTTTTTTTTTTTTTGATAAAAAGAAACTAAATTGCATCAACCTAATAGTCTGTCTGAGGGTGTCTATGTTCCTCCCTCCCCCAAAATGCACAAACTTGCAGTATTGTTTAAGTGAAAATAATCTTGTATGAATTTTCTTCCACAAAAGCTCACTTAAACATATAGTGTAGGGAGTTCTTCAATCTATCCTTGGACCAAAGCAAACTGAGGGGCAAGCCCTACACCATTACAAAGCACAGGCGCTCCAGTGAACTCACAGTTCCTTTGTGGGATATACCACCTATCTGCCAAGTTGGGATGGACGTCTAAGAACAAGAGGGATTGCTCACAGGAAACACAGCAGCCTGCGTAACAGCCCCAAGAATCAAGTCTCTGCCATTGTGGGCTTGCACACAGACAAACTTCATTACTCTGAAAAAAGTTTTCTGCACTTAGTGTTGATTAGTCTCTTCTAGACATTCCTGAGGGTACCATGTCATTTTTCCCACTGAAATGTACATATCAACACTGAAGCCAGAACAACGTTTCCTGTCATGGGATGAATTTGAAAAAAAAAAAGTTATAAATAATTCCAAGGAGGAGGGAAAAAAAAAAATTCCCAACCTACTCCAAATCCCCAAGTTTGAGGAAAGGGACAAAACTGACTGAAGTCTTCCTGAAAGCTGTCAGACTGGGGCCACACAGCGCCATGAAAACAGACGGTAATCAGAAGTAATTTCCTTTTTGTCTCTCCCACCCACTGACAGAGCAGCAGGAGTCATGGAAAAAGAAAAAAAAAAACTTTCTGGATGAGCACACAGCACTAGAGAGACTTTAGTTTGTGGTTGTGTTCATCCAGTTATCTAGTGTGTTAGTGAAGCAAAAATAATGGCATTTAACAAGATAGCACAAAACAAAAATTTTTTTTTTTTTTTTGCACCGTTATACTCCGAGGTCTATTTTTCAAAATAAAACAGCGGCTCATATACTGTAAACTTTAGAACAATTAAGTCAGTCTCAGAAGAATAAGTCAATATTTTTCTTGGCACAGTCCCTGAGTCTGAGCATTCAATACTACTGTTCTGATAACACTGAGAACTGCTCAAAGTGAGTAATAATAGAAACTGACTGAGGATTTAAAGATGTCATCCCCAGCTAACGAGGAAGTCATCTCAAAGAAATCAGGGTTTCTATTTGCTCTCTATCAGGGAGCTGTGATTATTCCCTAGCATTCAGGATATGATAAATCTCAAGGGTTGGAGTTTGTATGGAATCTGGAGCCCTGCTTACACAAGGGTAAGCCTGGGGAAAAAAAACAAAAGGAAAGGAAAGGCAGTGAATTCTCGGGTGGTTATCCATGTTGAAGAGAAAGCGAGAGGCACAACACAGCCCACTTCCACACGGGATTTCTACTCTGATCAGTTACCTCGCATGGGCCCAACCTACTACCGCTTAATGAATCTCCTGTTCATCTAGCTAGAAGTCAGATTTCATGATGAATCCTTGGCTTACCATAGAGTAATTTCACAACTACTATTGTACGTCTAGGTCTATATTTACACCTACACTGCTTCAAATACATTTGGGTTTCATACTTTTACTGCAAAGAGCTAGCATGTGTCTCCAGCTGCTAATGATACACAAAAGAAAGTATTTGTCCTCAAAAGAAGAGCCTAGGGAGTCTTCAAACACAAGCTGCTCTCACTTTTTTTTCCAGGGAAGCAACATCAGTCTGAATTTCTAGGCAACTTACATGCAAATGCGGAGCTCATTTAATTACTTCAACTGCATTTGCTTGGCTTGTTCCTGCTAACCTGCCTAGGCTCCTGGTCACAGTGCACACCATTCAAATCCAAAAGGAAATTACCCCTCACAGGGTACAGATTGTTTTGGATTAAGCCTGCCACTACATTTCTTTGACTGGCTTCTTGTAGCTGTGATTCCGCACTGAAGTCTCAACCGAATTGGGGTGGGGGAAGAATACAACACTGGAGGAGGTTTGCCAGATTTTTTGCAGAAGAGCTAGATTAATAGCTCTGGAAAATGTCAATGACTTATTCTAAGTGATGTAATTCTGGAAAAGATGAAAAATTATTAAGAATTAGCAATAGCTAAAAAAAGGGCTAGTAGACTAGCTTCTTCAGTGTGTCTGCATCAACCTTTTCTCCCCCACTCCCAAAATCCAGGGATGCACAACAATGAAACAGGCAAGACCAAATTCAGACTTGCTCGTGAGGAGATACAATGCTGAAGTTGCATCTAGTGAGAGCTTGGCCCATTATGTATAATTAAACTGTGTTGGAACAGCGCGTGCTATGGACTGGGTAATTATGTCAACCAGCAATATTAACTGCATGCCTTCCTGACACTGTATCTGACACCTATGACCATAACTATTTCGCAGTGTGGCAGTGGGCCACATTCAACCCCAGTCGAGGCAGGTGCAGGCCCTGCAGTCCAGATGGAAGGCAAATCAGGCCTGAGATACCTTGACAGCACCAGGTAGGTGGAAGACAGCACCTTTCCCTTAAGGCTGCCTGGAAATCCCAGTGATTTCATTATCAGGCTTCAAGTTGGAAATTACAATGTCATTTTTGGGCACTCATACTGCATATAGAGTGACCTGCCCTGTGTAACATGGAAATTAGCATCTAAAACTTGTTTAAAAAACCTGCAGTATTTAAGTGTGGAACACAATTGAATCTCCTATAGCTTAACTGCATTTCCCCATAGATATAGAGCCTAGGAAAAAGAACATTTTTAACATTTAAATCACAGCAAAGGGGCCCATAATGGGAATCTCATGCAGCAGGCATGGCAAAATAGTTTCGATTTCTGGCTGTGTCACAGATTTGATGTATGACTTGCAAGAGCCTCTGAATACGTGTGCCTTAGTTGTTCCAGCTATAAAACTGGATTGAACATACTCACCCTCTCCAAAAGCAGCTGCTGGAAAGCAAAACTGCATTATTACAGTGGAATTCAAAAGTGCTATTTCTTACCTGATAATTTGTAACTGCAACACACACACAGTTACGAGGGGAGGTGCTTCCACGTGCTAACAAATGCCGTTGGAATTAAAGAATAGGGCACAGTTGTTATGCTGTTCCATACATCTAACGTGGGATCGTAGCAGTCCAACGTTTTGCATCTCTGAATGCCAAAGTAGCCTCCGACAACGTACAACTTGTTTCCAGACGCCACTGCGTGGCAGCTCATGCGCTTGGCTGTCACATCTCCCACCTTAGTCCACTGGTAGGTCTCACTGTTGAACTTGTACGCAGAGCACGCCGAGAACTCGGTGTCTCCACCCATAATAAAGATCTGGTTGCCCAGAACGGCTGCAGCCGTGTAGCGCCAGGGCTGCGGGCACGTGGCAGGCACCGTCCATCTGTTTTCACACTGGTCGTAACACTGAACTTTGGGCAGCTTGTCATGGCTAACACTGGTGCCCCCAAAAGCAAAGAGCTTCAGCTTGGCACTGACCACAGCGGCGTTGCTTACTCCCTCTCGGAGCGGGGCAACCATGGTCCATTTGTTGGTCACGGGGTCGTACTGTTCTACTTGCTTTAAAGATACTGAAGGGGAAGCTGGGAGGCAACCAGTTGCTGCAGTGTGTCCTCCCACTACATACAGACAGTGCTTGAGTTCGGCAGAGCCGTGCCCGAATCTAGCGACCAGCATGGGAGCAGCCTTTGACCACTCCTCGTGCAGAGTGTCATACACCCACACGTCTTTGGAGACGCCGTTTTCGGAGCCCCGTCCGCCCGTGATATACACTTTGCAGCCGATGGCACAGGCACTGAACTCCTTCCGGGGACTTGGGATGTCAGCCTTCGGGATGATCTCCTTTGCCTTTTGGTCCACCAGGTACAGCTTGTCACACATAAAAGTCTGGCCCCCCAGCAGAAAGAGCGAATGGCCAGTTTTACGGGGTCTGGCACACAGACTAGTTACCACTCCATCATTCTGTAAGATTTTTAGCTTGCATCTTATCGACTCTTCTACAATCTCCTTGCTTTTCCTCTGCTTGGTGATAAGTTCTTCCATCGCTACGTTTTCCATAAGGTATATGGCTGGCAAGAGAGCCAGTCTGACTGTCTGCAACAGCTCGGGCAGGTAACAGTGCCGCTTACTCAGGTCATAGTTGACCCAGTTGAGAGCTGACTCATACACCAGCCTTTCATCTTCAGTTTCCAATTCTTCGCTGGAGAGAAGCTGCACTACCATGTCTTTGGGCAGCTGGAGGAAGTCTTCACTCTTACTGATGCTCTGGAAGTTGCTAAGGCACATCCTCCAGGAGAGCTCGTAAAGCTTGGTGCACTGGTGAGCATCCGACAGCAGCAGCATGCCCAGACAGTTGGTGGGATGGAGGTTTTTCTCTAGGAATTCTGCACAAGCATCCCGAATGTCCTGGAACTCTAGCATATCCCCAGCCTCCAGCAGCGACTCCGCATTCTCCTCGTTGATGATAACTCGGGAGGAATACGCATAGTCCAGAAGGAGCTCCAAGACCTCCGGGTGAATGGAATTATGGAAGTTGACCTCACTGTCCTGGCTCTCTTTGAGTCCTCCACTGAACATTGCTTCGAAATAGCGGCTACAAGCAGCGAGCACAGCTCTGTGGCAGGGGAACGACCTGTTCCCGGCATGGAGAAGCACATCTGTGAAGAGCCGCTGCTGCCGCAGGAGGTTCAGGTGAGTAAGGACACTGTCGGCATAGGATGACTTGTGGAATAAATATATGTTGATGGAGCCAGTACTGGCCCTAGATTTGCGATTCTCATGCATGCTGACTGACATTTTCTTCCACACCTATAAACAAAGAAAACGGTTATAAGATGAGACAGTTACACTTTTTTGTTATGAAAAAATAATAATGAATATAGCTATTATACACTGGAACAAGAAGGAAAGAAAAAAAATAAAGCCTTAAGTTAAAGATGAGTGGACAAAGAACTGCATCTACTCTTGGCATGTATTTATTTTTTGGAAGATGACTCTCCTAAGTGACATACTCTAAGTTTGTTGCCCAAGAGCAGGTTTATCTTGGGAAACCTGATCTCCAACTTTCATAATAGTAAGCAAGTAATGTGGAAGGGAAGGGAAGAGAACCAGAAATGATTTTCTCACCCTTCCCCAATCTAGTCCAGCTGATTCATTACATATGTACACATGCATATGCTTGAAACATTCTCCTGTACTGAATCATAGCAGGAAGAGCTACCAGACAGAATACCTAAGGAATGTCAAAAGCTGCATGGAGAACAAAAACCTACTAATCCCATTAGGAAGCTTCTCTTTGCTATAATGATTCCATATGCAACATCAGAGATTGAAAAGGGGAACCTTAAAATGAAAGCCTAGCAAGCATCATAGCTTTAGCTGCCAAATTTAATAAAAAAAATACTACAGATAACTTGTACAGTGTGGATTTTTTTATCTTGATCTTTGCTAGCAGCTGCCTGCTATAGAGTGATACAGAATACACACAGAGTCAGCAGGAAGGTGCATTTTGAGTATTAGCTGAAGTCACCAAACGTGGTTTCAGAACAGAAATGCTTTGGAGTCAGGACTCGGAATTTAAGCCAGAGCAGCCACTGGTTACTTTGGGGCTTGGGAGAAATAGAATACAAGACATTGGACGCTGCTACCTCGCTCCTCCCAAACACAATGCTGCTCAGTCCCTGTGCCAGGACAGGCAGGTCCATGCACCACGACAAAAGCAAGCTTTCAGGGGTAAGAAGAGTGAAGTCTAGACAGCATGGAGAAAGGGAAGAAATCCGGCAGTTTGTGCTCGCCAGCAAACAAGCAAGCAGAGATGAAGCACACAGAGCTACTGCAAACTATGGCTCTTACTGCTGCTTTAGGAAACCCACTTATCTTCACCCAGACTGCAGAGGAAACACAGAGAAAGAACCGAGTTTCCCTAACTGATAGGATGGACTCCCGCCCAGCGTCCCTTCTACAGCACCTTCAAATAAAGAGCAAAGTAAGGGTCTACTTGAGAAGCTCCTGATTCCCAAAGCTGGTGCATGACCCTGGGCCACTGATGGAGGGTTTTAATATGGATATATTTCCCTCTCTCACAGACTCAAGAATTTTCATATTCTTGAGTATATTCAAGGCGCATAGAAATGCACAAGTCTTCCCACATTTCACACCTTTCCTAATAAAACAATATCACCTCTTCTCAAACAAAATAACCCAAGAGGATCAAAAAAAAAATCAAAAAAGTGCACTTTTTTAATAAATACATTTACACTCCTAGATTCACATAATGAGAACCCATTAAAAAAAATGCGAAAATCTATACAGATGAGTTTGAACAATGGACTCCATTTCAGAGGTTTTTTTGTTTTGTTTTTTTAATTAAATAGCCAGTGCTCCTTCCTGAACCTGAAAGGAAGGAGCAACACAGTTCAGAATATAGTGCTTAACCCAATTATTACCAGACACGGAGGGGAATACTCCTGCCACGGAATAGCCTACCCAGCTCACCCTCCTGTGTAACGGTCTGGAAAGCTATTTTAAACAATGTTCTCTAGGCTGATCTATCCAATGCATTAACACTAATCACAGAACAACTTGAAGAGCCCAGCTTGTCTTCATAACACAAGTTACACAGGAAAATACAATTGCATTAAAGGCAATTGCATCATCTAATTAAACAGTAAATGTTCAGATGGCATTCAAGGATCCCAAACACTAATCTCAGACTAAAATTACCTGCTTAATCTATAGCCAAAAAGATTATACTGCCCATAAACTCTCAGGCTCAAACCTGCTGCAACAAGAAGATCCCAGGAAGGGTCACCACTTCAGATATTAATACACCAACAGTTCGAGGACAGAGATGGAAAGACAAACCCTTCACTAGCAAAGCATCTCCCCTCAAGTTTTTAAAACTTCTCTAGACATTTTATCAATGCTATTACAGTATTATCAATACTACTACAGTACAATATACAGTTTTCCCTGGTTCTCCCAGACCAACTTTTCCTAGGGCAAGGACCTATTTCTGCAGCATTCCAACTCCATGGCCAGGGAGAGGGATGGCTGCTCTGCACCCATCCCAGTTTGGTGGAAGTGCACACACCTCAATCTTGTCACGTTTGGGATGTCTGTATGAACACAGCTCCTCTCATTACCCCGTATCTTGCAGGAATTCAGAGAAAACGGAAAGCTTTTTTAATGACACACATGGAGTTCTGAAACAGGGCAGTGAGAGTTCATATCAAAGACTGCGGACACAGGAGTTCGCCTCTTCCATGGGGCTGCCTACTTGAACAAGCACAACTTGCAAAGCCTATTTCTCAATGAAACCATGCTCACAGAAAAGAAAAGCAAGCTTAACTACCACCACACCACACACACCACCCTGCAACCCCTCATATACTGGAAGCTAGTAAGATAGGGAACCTACAACAAGGATAGGGAGCAGATCACTGCAAGCTGCCCAAGCCCACCCACAGCCATGGTAGCAAATGCTACTGTAAAAATTGACAAGATGCACTTGCAAGCAACTTCTGAATAAAGCACTCAGCTTCACCTCACTTAAACAGAAGACCTGGTCCTTCAGAGAGCAATGGCATTTCTTATGAAACGCTTGCAGATCCGTATTTGCTGCTCTTGAACTGTTCCCAGAACGCTGCCTGCATCATCGCCATGTCCTCTCTCGGGAAGAATTCAAGGCATGCCAATCCACATGGCAGATAAGCTAATGTATTTCCCCAAACAGAACAAAGATACATATCTGCACATATCTTCTTCCTCTCCACTGCAGTTGTTAAGATGACTTCACACATGGAAGAGTTAAACACTCTTAAAAGCAATTACCATAATTTACTAACAAGCAGTGTTTCTGTGCACATGCCCCTTTGCAGTTTCTGGCAATTAGCTTAGTCCAGAATCTTACAAGAAAATTAAAATGCATGAATGACAGCTCCAATTTCTCTATTTGGTGTTGGAAATTATGCAAGCCTCAAATACTTTAGCGGAGGTAATTTACACAGTCAGTGAGCAAATGTTCATCTTGAACAAAATGAGTCAACTTCCTTCAGGCAATTTTTCCTTAGAAATAATATTTGTATGTAAAAGACAAGAAGCGGTCAGTAAATTACAGATACAGATTTTATCTGGGAACAGAGGTTGAACAAAGACTTTGATTTATAATTATACTCCAACAGGCTACTTGTCACAGCAGCCCAGTAGTAAACACTGCTCGAGACTAAACAACAGCCTCCCTGCCCCACTTCTTAACAGCTTTGCAGCATGCAGGTCTCTACCGCAATCAAATGAAAAAATCAAGTATTTTCAAGTTATCAGCATATCCACAGTGTGGATTCATTTTAATAGGAGCCGGATCCTACCTAGTCCTTCAGCAAAGCCTCCGTGGCTCCCTGGGACCTGCCGAGATGAAAGCAAAGCCAGCTGTTCCTGCACTACTGCTTGCCTCATGCAGACAAAGAAACTCACCTCTAAATTCCCTCTCGTTCAAAGTGTCCGAACTGCTCCCAACCCCTTGGAAAAAAATGAGAACTTTCTGGGCATCTTCCGAGCCCGGCGCGGAAGGCGCGCGGCTGGAACGGGAGCGCAGCGCGCCCGCCACGTGCGGCGCTTCCCGCGGGGGAGCGGGGCCGCCGCGGCAGCCCGTGAGGGGCGGGCGGCCGCCGCACGGCACGGGGCTCCGCGGGGAACAGGGCGGCCGCCCCTCCAGCCGCAACGGCTGCAACGGCCGCAACGGTCGNCGCAGACGCTGCGCTGGCTGCCCTGGAGCTCCCGGCCGCTGCCTCGGCCCCGCGGCGAGCAGGAGGGAGGCCGGCTGCCAGCAGCGGGGCAGAGCGAGCGGGCCGGACTCCAGCTGCGCCGGGCGCCGGCCGAGCAGCTCGGCCCGGGCGGGAAGCCGCGGGGAAGCCGCGGGGAAGCAGCGCAGCAGCGGGCGCAGCAGCGCAGCGCGGCGCGGCGGATTGAGCCCTGCCGCCCTCCCGCCTCCCTGCCGCGCCCGGCACCGCAACAGGTCTCCGGGCACCGACTTACGGCTGCGGCTCCGGGTGAGCGCGGGCGTCTCCGCGGCTCCGCGCATGGAGGGCGCCGCGGCTGCCGGCGCCGCGCTGCGCTGCCGGGCGGAGCTGCCGCCGCTGCGGGAGGCGGGAGGGAAGGAAGGGGGGACTGCTCGTGGTGCTCCTGCTGCCGGGGCTCGCGGCCGCCGCTCCGCCGCCGCGCCGCGGGGACAGCTATAAGGGCTGGGGGCGGGGGAGCGCCTATGCAAAGCGCCTAGTGACACTCGGGGGCGGGAGGGGAGGGGGCGGGAGGCGGCGGCAGCGGCAGCGCCAGCCCGCGCCGCAGCGGGAAGGGGCCGCGCGGCCTCTGCGCCGCGCCCGGCTCCGCAGCCCGCTCGGGCTGCGCGGCCAGCGCCCGCTTCGGCCTCTAATTACAGGCCAATTAACGAAGCACGAGAGAAACGCACTTGTGCAAAACGCCGGCTCCAAACGTAAACATCTTCTAGACACAGCAGCAGTGTTTACATAGCAGCACTGGGCAGCTCTCTGCAGAACAAATGCAGGGCACCTCACTGGGCATCGTGCATAGCCTTAGTTTTTAAAGCAATGGTTTTGGTCTATAACAAGCTTCAGGGAAGAAAAGGACACTTATTTTACTTCCACCAACAAGAAACTAATAGCTGGATGTGAGAGAACGGAGAATTCATTCATCCCTCCTAATGAGATGCCGCCTCGACTGCTGCTGGCTGCAGAAGCCCCGCAGCAGCTCGCTGACACGCAGCGGGCTGACTCCAGAGCCCGCAGACAAGCAGC